AGCTAAGGCAGAGGGGGGAATGGACCCTTCATCCAGATATCTTCAATCTGATGTGTGATCTGCTTCAAGAGAGAGGGTAACAGTGATTCTCATTACACCAAACTGGCCCAGAGGAACCTGGTACTCTGACATACTTGGACTTCTAGCAGACAACCCCTGGCCTCTTCCCAACAGGCCAGATCTGCTATCTCAGGAACCTGATTCTCAGTCTCTGGCTTTAATGGCATGTCTCTTGAAGCCCAGGTCTTAAAAGGTGGAGGGGTCTGTAAATCCTACCTTGCTAAAGGCCTTGCAATCTGGACTTCCTTGTCTTGACCATAACATGACTTTAAACACTTTGAAAGGACAGATCTTGTACTTGTCCATTCTCTTTCAAAGACCTCTGGCTTCACTCACACTTGTAAAAATTTTTCTTCAAGGTGTATATTGCAATAAACCACCTTACAGCATCTTGTACGTCTTTAGGATCTTGATTCGGTTCTCTCTGCCGTGCAGAAAAACACACGTTGAACCCATCAGGGATATTCCCTTAAAGCACCTCTCCTGCAAAGCTGCCCTTTTGGTTAGTATCGCATCTGTCAGATGTGTCTCTGAGTTGTCAGCCCTCCTTCGTAAGGAGCCATTCATCATACTTCACAAGGACAAGACCATCCTTTCCTCCTATGGCGGTATCAGTCTTCCACCGTAATGAGGACATAGCCCTACTATCCTTATGCCCTACTCCAAAGAATTCAAGGAAATCACTCTTCATTGCCTGGATGCAGTCAGAGCTATTAGAGTCTACCTCAAAACTATAGCTTTGATCAGATGGATTCCTTATTTGTCCTGTTCTCAGGACTTTTGCAAGGTACACCCTGCTTCAAAGTCCTCCATCATGAAGAAGATAAGAAATCTGATTGCTAGAGCTTGCACTCTCAATGACAAGTGTGCTCCTGAACTGTACTCCACTGAGTTTTCTGGCCATTTTGGCACTAGGTTTCTGTACCCCAACTGTGTAAGGTTACCACCTGGTCCTCTGTTCAAAGTTCACACAAAGTTTTACCAGGTGGATGTCTAGTCTTCTGTGGATTCAGCTTTTAGTCCCAAAGTTCTTGCAGCAGGTCTTGTTGTTAGGTCAGTTGGCGCAGTTCTGTTTGCCTACTTGTATGCCCTTCCTTTTCATTCACTGCCCGTGTGCTGTACTGTACAATTAAGATAAGAGAAAATATGACTTATCTGTGAATTCCATATCTTGAAATATAGGGCACAGGCCACCTTCTCTTTCATTCCTGGTTACTCTGCATTGCTTGCCACAAAACTGAAGGCTCACAGAGTGGGATAGAGTTATAGGGGAGGCACACAGGGTGCGTGTCCTCAAAAGCTTTGCCAGTGTCCAAACACCTGAAGGTATGATCCTATAATCCAGGGTCTAAGAATATTTTGCTTGTGTCCTGTTCTGTACTCCAAGATATTCATCTTTTCTTTTTTTTCACCTATTCATAAGGAATGTGTAGGATATGGCATAGACGCATACTTTACGTTCTACTCAGGTCACTGACATAGTTACCTCAAAAAAAAATGTTAAATGCTGAGATATATGAAAATAAATGAAATCCAAAATAAACTTCTCAAACAGCAGCATGCAGTAATCCATAGCAGCCATTTTTTCACTTACATGAACTAAAACCTGTATAATGAGTTCTGGTTGGTTGCTTACACCATTTTATTGGATTTTCTCCAAACTGTTTTTTTTTTTTAAGCTTGTATTTGATTTTTTTAAATAATGAAAATGTAAAAGTCAGCACTATCCAATAGTACAACAAAAAGCTGCATGCATGGGTAGAGATATACAGTACACCCCTTGGAACATGTGAATAATAATTGCTGTTCTAAAATTAAATGCATAAATCACTATATGAATTGAGTGCAAAAATAATAGTGTCCATACAAATTAAAATAAAAAATTAAATTAAAATAAAAGTCTTTCAGCACAATAAATCCCAGCATATATCTCTTGTGCATCCACTGAACAACCAATGTATCCTGGTGGTTTAATTCCCAAACCAACAACATCAATGTGACAAACACCAGCTGTGTTAATCCTCCGCCTAATAGGTAAATTGCAGGCTTACCGCAACACAATGCTGTCTAAGGATAGAACAGCACTATGCACTTGTGATTTTATATCATTCAGGGTCTCTTTCTCCAACTTTGTCAAAAATGAAAACTGTACCTTCTCCATTCCACAAGGGGTCAGTATCAGCATTTCAGCTCCATCCAAAAAAATAAAAAAAAAATCAATAAACGTTGAGCATTTACAAATGTTTAGGCATTCTCATGTTTATTTATTTTGTTTTATTGGTATGACACAAAAAAAGTGGAGAAACCTAAAGCCAAATCTGACACATTCCATGCAAAACCCCAAAACTGGACTGGACACCTTCTCAAAATTGTATGAAATAATTGCATTGCAAGTTTGTGATGCTTCTATAATTTGTAATTAAACTCACTTGTATCAATTAACAGGTGATGACAATATAGAAATCACACTAGGAACCAGTTAGCCCTCATGCACAGTGGATGTTTTTCATAATGTGGTTTTTTCCATTAGCGGCGGGCGTTTTGCTGCAATTAGCATTGTTTTCCCATGTTTGCATTTTTTAGTGTTTTTATTGACCCCAAAAAAAAAAGTTTTTTTTGGTCAAAAAAGTCCAAAAACGCTGGTTTGCGGCGTTTAAAAAAAAACCGCAGTTTGCCGTGTTTTTTCAGCATTTTTACAGCTAAAAAAACTCCTAGCAACCCACTAGTCCAGCCAAAAAAAGTTGATTGCAGTCTATGTGTGCAAGGACACATGGGATAACATGCTGGGGGTTTACTAGCTATAGAAAAAACCACCAAAAGCCAAAAAACAGCAGCTGTAAAAACAAAGTGTGCATGAGGGTTTAAAATGGTGAAAAATTTACTCAACCTTTCTGTTGCGTGTCTCTGTGTGCCACATGTAGCATGGAGAAGAGAAAGAGCAGCAAAGAATTGTGGAAAAGCATGGACAATCTCAAGGTTACTAGGATCTTAATGTTCCTGTGTTCACTGTGCGCAAAGAAATTTACAGCCAATGGCGCTGTAGCTAATCTCCCTGGATGTGGACGAAAAAGGAAAAATTTAATACAGACTGCAACGAAGGATTGTTCGAATGGTGGCTAAAGAACCTTGATCAACTTCCAGACAAATTCAAGCTGACTTTCAGGCACAGGGTACAACTGTGTCAGCTCACATTATACGTCACCATCTGCATGAAAAGGGATGCTATGGTAGGAGACCCAGGAGGACCCCACTACTGACATAGAAACATAAAAAAAAGTCCGATTGGCATTTGCCAAAACTTACCTGAGGAAGGCAAAATCCATTTGGGAGAATGTGCTGTGGACAGACGAAACAAAATTACAGCTTTTTGGTAAAGCCCATCATTCTACTGTGTTCAGACAAAGCAGTGAGGCCTTTAAAGAAAAGAATACAGTCCCTACAATCAAACATGGTGGAGGCTCACTGATGTTTTGGGGTTGCTTTGCTGCTTCAGGCACTGACTGAGAGTGCATGGCATTATGACATCTGAAGACTACCAAAGAATTCTGGGATGCAATGTAGGGTCCAGTGTCAGAAAGTTGGGTCTCTGTCAGAGGTCATGGGTCTTATAGCAGCACAATGACCCAAAGCACAGGTTGTAAAACACCCAGAAATGGTTTGAGACAAAGCGCTGTAGAGTACTGAACTGGCCAGCAAATCTCAATCCCATAGAGCACCTATGGATAGATCTCAAAACAGCAGTTGGGAAAAGGAACCCTTCCAATCTGAGAGACCTGGAGCAGAGAAAGAAGAGTGATCCTAAATTCCAGTAGAGAGGTGCCAGAAACTCATTGATGGCTACAGGAAGCGATTGATTTCAGTTATTTTTTCCAAGCGGTATGCTACCAAATATTAAATTAAGGGTGCCAGTAATTTTTTTCGGTCCATTTTTGGGGTTTTGCGTGGAATGTGTCAGATTTGGCTTTTTGTTTCTCTACTTTTTTGTGTCACACCAATACAAACAAAAGCAGGGGAGCCAATATTTTTGGCCATGACTGTATACGTTTGGGTATAAGAAACACTATGTAACTATGATTACAAGGTTAAGAAAAACCCTAAGTGTCTATTACAGACTATATGCTCCAGATTGAGAGTTGTTCAGTACTGTGTTTCCTAGTCACACTGTGGTTGTCAGTTTTGGCTCAGTTATTGCCGTAGTATTTACCCACCATGCATTTCAACTGTTTCCAGTCTTAAGTAGCTTAGAGTTATCAAGAATTTCCCAAGAGTCCGTTTTAAAGGCGCTTTATGTCAGCATCAGTGTATCTCCAAAACTATGGTTTATGTACCCACGTTACCTGTCAGTCACAATCTTCCTCATGCCAAACAATATAACTGATGGAGCCGAAGGATGAGGCTGCATTTCAAAATGTACAATTTAGGAGGATTTCCTGTTTAAAAAAAATGTGATGCTAAACTTGCTAAGCACAGGAAAAAAATCATAGCATAACCTACTTTCCTCTTATATGTAGAATGTCTGCCTCTTTTTAATTATTATGATCACCCTTTTATATTTTGCATTGTCCCCTGAAAATAAAAGATTAATGTTCTAATAATTTTTGCTGACACCATTGTTCTAATGCCAGCAAGCCTCAGATTGGGGGGATCCCCCACCATCATAATATAGTAGAACAGCACGAGAGATCCCTGCATCAGCATTACGCAGTGTAAAAATGGCTTACGCAGTGTAAAAATACTTAAACACATTTGGCTATCTCTTACCCTGTGACTGTTTAGGGGCAGAGTGCTGAGGAAATGCTTATTACTGCTTGCAGCAAACTGTGCCTAGACCGAGCACTTGCCTAGAGTTCAAGGAACAGCTTTTTACACATACTTTTGCTGTGTTTTGTGACATGTCTAGAATTAATTCAACTCACTGAATATGCTTGCTTTCATTTCTTTTTGAATTTATCTTTTTCAGGAAAAATGATATTGCTTATAGACCCCATTCCTGGCATTCAGCAAAGTTTAATTGAAAGCCCCATGGAAACTCTGACTGCACAGCTATCAAATTCTAACTTTAATCCTTCATGGAGTTCCCAATACCACTCCAGGTAACCTCCTCTCAAATTTATCAGTCTAAATGGTTACTTTAAACCTAATAGTTTTATTTGTTTTTAGCATTTTCTTTAACCCTTTTTGCTGCCAGAGCCATTTTTTTGCACATGCTTAAAAAATTATTTTAGGCCTGAAAATTACACGAAATCTGCAAATATATATATTTTCTGAAAGCAGACATTCTAGAGCAGAGCCTAGGGTTCCTTCAGAGGTTGCTAGGGGTTCCTTGAACAATGAGCAATTTCTGCCTCTCAGATAAGCTACCAATGACACACTACTGATCTTTTTTACTTTTTAAAAGGAGATATTCTTCCCAAAGACCACAAGTGTTAGGAGCATTCTTCCCACTGACCATCACACTAATGCAGTGTTTCTCAACTCCAGTCCTCATGGACCCCCAACAGGTCATGTTTTTACAGGATTTCCCTCAGATGAAACAGCTGTGGTAATTACTAAGGCAGTGAAACTGATCAAATCACCTGTGCAAAATAATGGAAATCCTGAAAACATGACTGTTGGGGGTCCATGAGGACTGGAGTTTGAGAAACACTGCACTAATGTATCATGAGTTGTAGATGTAGTGATTTTTAGCAGGGGTTCCCTGCAACCAGAAAATTATTTCAAGGGTTCCACTGTGTTTAAAAGTATGAGAAAGGATGCCCTAGAGCAGTGGTGGGCAACCTTTTTTTTTCAACTGAGCCAAATCTCGCCAAAACCACGATTGAAATTTATTTTGATCAGCCACATTTTTTAAACTGAAAATACATCCCCCATATAGTAATTCATCCCCCATATAGTAATTCATCCCCCATAGTAATTCATCCCCCATATAGTAGATTCATCCCCCATAGTAATTCATCCCCCATATAGTAATTCATCCCCCATATAGTAATTTCATCCCCCATAGTAATTCATCCCCCATATAGTAATTCATCCCCCCTATAGTAATTCATTCCCCATATTGTGTCAATTCACTTTCCTTTGCTCCGTGCGTTCCCTCTCAGCCGTGTTCCCGTGCCGTTCCGGTCTTCAGGCAGACTGTGAGAGGAAGAGGAGTTCGTCACGCTGCCCCGCCCTACATCCTGACAGCCAAAGTTTTGCCACGCTCTCCGCGGGCCGGATTAAAAGGTCCGCCGGGCCGTAGTTTGCCCATTGCTGGGCTAGCTGCATGAGTCCTGACTTTTGGGGTGGCCGCCCGAGAGGAGAGAGGGGAGCGGGCGCCCGGCACACAGAAGAGCCGCGTTAAAAGAGTGTAAAGAGCCGCATGTGGCTCGCGAGCAGCGGAAAGCCGACCACTGCCCTAGAGAATAAAATAATGGTAGATCCAGTTTATGTCAAACAATATTACCACAAAGGTGAATTTTAAGGCAAACAAATGCAATAAGTTACCCACATTTTTGGTAAAATATAAAAGACAAGGTTGCACCAAGTAAAGTAAATAGATACACACCATATCAAACTTTAAATTTGTGTGCGCCTATGAAATGGCAACAGTACCCTATATTTTCTATAGGCGACCTTCAGAAGCCCCTACAGATCACCAATTTAGTGTTACGGAGGAGGTCTTGTGCTAGAATTATTGCTCTTACTTTGGTGTGCATGGCGATATGTAATATGTGCATCACAATCAAAATGTTCACACGCTGTCACCCCAACGTGTGTGTTTACATTTGTTCGTTTGTGGGAGGGGGGCCTCAAAAAATTTTTTTGATGGGGGTGTTTATGTGCTTGAGTGTAACTTTATTTTTTTTTGCAATAAAATTATTATTTATTTAAATTTTTTTTAATTTAAAGCAGAGTTCCAGTTGAATTTACAAAAAAAAACAATAAAAGTCAGCAGCTACAAAAACTGTAGCTGCTGTCCTTAGAAATACAGGCACTTACCTGTCCCTCGGTCCAGCAGTGTCCTCACCACAGCTGGTTTCCATGCCTGTCTTCCCTCCCCAGCGCCAGCATCTTCAGTGTAGGCACCCGGCTGTGACAGCTTGCAATTTCACAGCTGGGTGCCCACTGCGCATGCGCGAAGTAGCGCTGCACTTTGTGTATGGTCCCGTAGTCTTCTTGGACCTGTCCCATGTCTACGGGGAAAGGAGGGGGGAGGACAACTTCTGTTTCCAATTGCCTTAGGCGATTGCAGCGGAAGTGGGAGTGGGTACCTGTCAAATATTGGGTACCTGCGGGTCTAAAAGACCCTGCATGTCTCCTCTGGGCTCCACTGCATGTATTGCAGTACATATCGCATTGCAATACATTTCTCCCCAGCTATTCAGTGAAAGTGAAAACGGTGACCAGGAGGTGATGTCATACATGTTACCTTCTGGGTCACAGCAAGAAGGGGAGGAGAGTGGATATTTAGCTGCTGTCCTTTCTCCACTGGCACACGCTCTGGGCCCATAGATGGGTAAGGGGAGCCTGGAATACTTGGAGGGAGCATGCACGGGGTTGGGGCACCGTTACCAGGGGGGCTGTGGAAGCAATCGGTTGATAGCGCACCCATCCGACTGCTTCCACCTGACAGGCAGGAGTCTTCCTGTTAGTTTATACAAAATATCCTGGTGGCTACAACCACTGGATTATGTATAAAATACCCTGCTGTTAGGTCCATATGACATATGGACCTGATAGCAAAAAGTTTAGCTAAATCCACAAACGGAAAAATGTTTGCAAGGTTAGAAGGTTGTAATGGTGCACAATGAAAACCTATGGCTTTGTGTAAATAGAAGGCAGGCTTGATTCACCTGCTGGCTTGTATACAATTTTTGGGTAATTTTTAGGCATTTTTCCAAGGCTTCCCTGAAGGAACTCCAAGGCACCGTAGGGTGCCTGGGCACCCTGGTTGAAAAAGGCTGCTCGAGAGAATTTTGCCAAGTCTCTAATGTGCCTTATAGGCATGCCTTTTAACAGTGAATGCCTCTGGGGAATTTTTTTATAAATTCATCAAGGAAGACACTGGACCCCACAGGAACATTATTAACTCTCCCACTTCTACAGCTTCCTCCTCTACTCTGTGAATTGAGACTTTCCACTCCCCCCAGACACCAACTTCAAAACCAAGGCTCAGCACTTTTTTTGTCGCACGTCTTGGGCCTCTAAGTTCACCAAACTTGCTAGGAAGCCCTCTTAATAATGAAAAGGCACACTCACTACCTACTGGGGGATGTCTTTTGGTCTTTGTAACAGTCTGAATTCCAGGCATACCAGACCTCTGGGTCCAGTATGTAATTTGAAAGGGATACAAAAGAGAGTTTCTTCTTTGCCCCCCCCCCCCCCCCCCCCCACACTCTTTCTACCCTCCAGTATGCCAGCATTAGTTCAAAAACAAGCATATTTTACTGGCCGCCTTGTGCCACCTTCAGTCCCAAGGAGTGATTGTACCAATTCCTTCAAAGAGAAAGTTCCCAGGTTTTTATTCAAACCTATTCACAATCCCAAAACGAAATGAAAGCATTCCCCCCATATTTGGACTTCAAATTTCTAAATAGATTTATTTGGGTAACAAAATTCTGTATGAAACCAGCAAGATCTGTCATTGCTTTTCTCAAACAAGGGTCATTTGTGGCATAAGTAGACATGCAAGATGCCTACCTATACTATCCCATCTTCCCATCAAAGCAACAATTTCTGCATTTTGCGCTGCAAGACCAACACCTCCAACTTGTATCAATGCTATTCAGGTTCTCCTCTGCATCCTGAGTGTTGACAAATAGTGCTTGCTCTTGTTTTTGCTCTTTTGCAGACCCAGGGCATTCATGTTGCAAGGTGCTTAGATGACCTCCTGCTGAATGATGACTCAGCCATGAACTTGTCTGCCAACATTCAAGGGACAATTCCATTCCTTTAAACCCTCAACTGGTTAATCAACTTTCCAAAGTGTGCCCTCCAGCTTTCTGATTGTCTGACACAGCCCAAGCTAGAATTTTCCTTTCTCCAGAAAAAGATTGCCTCTTTAAGGTCTCACCCTCAGATTCAAAAGCCATCTCCCAGTTCACTTCTGTATGAGGGTTCTGAGCATAATAATGGCCTTCTCTGAGGCAGTTTTCCTTAGCCTAGTTTCACTCGGTCACCAGAAAATTTCTCACTGGCATAGTGGAACTCCAAACATGATGAAGTAAAAAAAAAACTAATTCCTTCTCATGTCCTGGAAGGTGATGACAGTGGATCCCAGCCTTACTATCTTGGGAACGGTCGAGGGGACCTGGTTCTCAGTAGTCAAGACTCTCTATCAACAGTCTGGAACTGAGAGTCATCAATCACACTTCACAACACTGAACCCCCTTCTGCAAGGTCACGTAGTCAGGGTGCAGTTGCACAATGCCACATAACTTTTACATAAACCATGGAGGGGTGGGGAGAAAAAAATTTTATTCTCTCTTGGGTTGAAACTCAAATTTCATCCACGTTTTTTTTGGTGTGGACAGTTGGAAGGCAGACTTTCTAAACCACCAATGTCTGGAGCCAAAAGTGCATCCTCTGCACTCTGAGATCTCTCTGTCAAAGGTGGAAGAAACCAAATGTGGACATCCTGGCCTTCAGGTTCAACAACAAATTGAACAGATTTGTAGCCAGGGCCAGGAACCTTCTGGCCTTTGCAATAGTTGCCCTCCGATAAAGATTCTCCCTCAATTGCTGCCCAAGATAGAGGTAAAAAGGGTTCCGGTGTTCTTCATTGCATTGAATTGGCCAAGAAAGATGTGGTACACAGGCATACTCGAGCTCCTGACAGATGAACCTAGGTCTCTTCAAAACAGACCAGCAGTACTGGCGCAAGGCCCCACATTCCTGCTTCTCAGTCACTACATGGCTTTTGAAAATCAAGTCCCGAAGAATAGGGGTTTCTTTGATTAGCTATCCTCGCCTTATTTAGGGTAAGAAAATCTGCCTCCCACAAGGTCTACCACATGTGGAAGGCTTAGTTTGCCTGGTGCGAGGACAGACAACTAAGTCCCAGGGGATAATTAAGTTCATATTTTGACTTTTCTTCAATCTTTTCTTGGCCAGCAAATGACCCATTGTACAATTAAGGGACAGGCTTTGCAATCCTCATCAAGACTTAAAGGTGTTGCTCATTCAAATCCCAAATTCGACCACCTGTGTTACCTTGGGTTCTTTGCCTGGTGCTCTCCATACTTCAGAGACCCCTCTTTGAGCCAGTTAGAAATATCCCTCTGGGAGACCCCACATGTAAGTTTGCTTCCTGCTGGCCATTATATCTGTTGGGTGGGTTTCTGACCTGATAGCTTTTTCTTGTAAAGAGCCCTTTCTTGTATTACACAGGGACAAGGTGGTCTTGAGACCAAGAAATTATTTTCTTCACTAGGTGGTCTCCCTTTCCTTCTCAATGAGGATCGCATCCTCCCTTCCCTGTGTCCTGCTCCAAAACACTCCAAGGAGATTTTTCTGCATTGCTTGAATGTTTGCCTAATAGCCACAGCTTCTGTTCACAAACCTGAGTATATTTCAGTGCTTCCTGCAGGCTGTTGTAGAGGACACCCTCTGACTACACCATTGCCAGGTTGATCAGAGAAGCTTGTCTGCGCTCATTCCACCAGGTCTTTTCATGTCTCTTGAGTTTTTCAGCATGAAGCATCCGTGTCCCAGATTTTCAAGGCCACCACCTGGCTCTTTCACATGTTCTCCAGGTTTTTCTAGGTGGATACTCAGGTCATCAGTTGCTGGTGCAAGATTCAGCCGCAAGTTGCTTTAAGCTGTCACCTGAGTGTGTTCTGGTTTCTTAACCTTGTTTTTTTCTGTTGGCAGTTCTGTTTGCTACACCCCATCTCTCATTTTTTTTGCTTTGATACATCCCATGGTCCACCTTGAATACAAGCCCCCTGTCCTGTACTATACTGGGAAATTTGACTTACCTGTACATTCCTTATCTTGATGTACAGAACACAGGACCCTCCTCACTGTGTCACTGTGAGACTGGATTGCTCATAAAAAACTCACGGAGTAGGTGGGGTTATATGAGCATACCCTAGGGGGTGGCCCTAGCAAGTTTTTTTTTTTTTTTTTTTTTTTTTTTTTTTACACTGTCCAGTCTGAAAGTAGCCTGCATATTACCCACAATCTTTGAATAAAAGCACTGTGTCCTGTACTGTACTTGAATATAAGTCTATTGTTTGATTTTAAAATATGGAAGGTTTAATTATTTAATACATACTCATACAGCTCCCATATTGCTAGGTATTATACTTATTTCATGAAAATTAAAAATAGCACTAGTGTTTATATGTAATATTTATTTTTTAACCTTCTGTTAGAGTTTTTTTTTTTTGTTTTTTTTTAAATCTTGTTCATAATGATCAAAATGTACAAAACAGGAAATAGGAGTCCTTAGGTGCCAGTACCTGATCCACTTAAACCCACCTTTTTCCAGCAAGGTTCCTCATAAATACCATCAACCATGCAACAAATATCTTTAACCACTTTTTTACCTCTGTATTTAAAAAAAAAAAAAACGCAAATATGGTTAAACACTGTCCACTGTGCACAGGCAGCTCCATACACAAACGCTGAGTACAGAGCCTATTTGATTTCAGATCGCTCTGATCATAGAGACACTAGTCAGAGTGACCACATGATGTAAACAGTGTGTTTTTACATCTATGTGCCCTCCCCTTTCTCTTACAATAGAGAAAAGGGAGGAAAAGGAGCTAATAAAAAGTATCATTCATATTCACTCAGAGTTTTTTGCCAAATTTTTTGGTCTTTTTGTTTCCCTTTAAAAGTAAAACAGTTTAAAACCACAATGTTCATTACAACAAAAAGAAAGCTCTATCGGTCTGAAAAATATGTAGAATCATTTAGGTACAATTTTGCATGACAGTAATTGTCATTCAAAACATCACATTGCTAGAAATTGAAAAATAGCTTGGTAATGAAGGGTTATTAAAGTCTGGTTCTCAAGTGCTTTAAATATGTTTATTCAAGTAGTAATGCCTACCTCTTTTATGTGGTTTGACAATCTGGAAAATATAGAGCTCTGAACTTATTTTACAACACAGTGTAAGCAACAAAATTGTACTATAACCCTGATTACTCTAGAAAATTAACTTTCACTTGCTTACAGTGGACTTGAATTCAGTATTTTTCTTTATAGTTGAGGGAAAATGGTTCACATGTGGGTCGACTCATGTAAATTGTGTTTTCTGTAAATATTACCATACAGCAAATATGAATAATCTATATTATTTATGCTTAGTTTGTATTAAAATTGATTTGACCCTGACATGACTTTTCTATACTTCTAAAACTTAATATGTTCATGTTTATAGTTCTTCATCGCATGACTTGTCAAGCTCTTGGGACCAAGCCAACTTACAGAGAAGTTCTGGGCATTTCAGCTCTGTGGGAAGTATGGACAGTATTGATCAAACCTACCAGTCTGGAAGATTGTCTTCTTCCAAATCTAATAACAGCATAGACTACTTGGGTAACCAGAATAAGAGGGATTCAGCATATGGTTCTTTTTCTACAAGTTTTATCACCCCTGAACACAGTTTATCTAAAAACAATTCTGTTTCTAGTGAAAATATCTTATATCAAATTAATGAATTGGACAATGGCAAACCAAAACACAGCAAAGCTGGACAGCTTTTACAGGATCCCAGAAGAGCAGACGATAAGCAGGGATACCAATCTCCATCTGTATCTTATGAAAGTAACAAACAACAAAGAACAGAGGACAATGTTGAGTCAAGACATTCTGGACGCTCAAATTTTGGGCCTGTATGGAATGTTCCTGATAAGAGAAAAACAGCTTCTTCACCCCCTCCCCCACCTCCTCCACTTCGCAGTGACAGTTATGCTGTTACAAAAAGCCATGAGAAACCTGCACCTATGCATTCAGAGTTAACAAGCACACAGCACTTTAATGTTGCAAATAGGTCTCATCCACGACCTGACTGGAATTCAGAGATTCCAGATTATCAACAAAGACTTTTAAGAGCCCCTGATAGGAGAATAAGTAATTCTTCGTATCAGTCTGAAATCAATTTGGATCAAATAGCATCTTATAAAGAAAAACACCAAAATAGTGTACCACATTCCAGTAGGTTACAGTCTTCTCAGTCTACAAATGATGTTAGGTTTGCTCAGCCCTCCTATAATTACCATCACCAGCGTCAATACAGCGATGAAAGCACTTTCTTTCAAAATACAAGAGTGTCACAACCACAGCAAGTGGCCTTTTCTTCTGGAAGTTATGAGATGGCTTCAGACCAACCACATGTTTACAGTGTGAATCACACTAGAGCTCCCAGTTCTTCTGAGTGCAGCACTGGGGAAAGGGTAAGAGGGGATAGTAATGCACCAAGCCGAACTACCACTGCAAGTTCAAAACAGCCACCTCAGGTACCCATCTTGCATCATTCATATAAAGAGGAATATGGCAAATCTGAAGTCTCTTCTAATACATGGTCCACACAGCAAGATGTTGAGGACCTAAAGACTGGTTATTCTCTACCTCAGCAAAACAATCATCCTTCATTAGAAAACTGTGACATGTATAATTCAAAAGTGGTAGAGAAAAAAGATATTTACTCAAGTAGTAATGAAAGAATGAAACCTAAAAAAAATAGCGACTACCATGAAGGACACTATAGTAATCATAATACATCACAAGACCTTACCAACAAGCAAGTGTCACCTAATAAATACAGGTCACATCATGAAGATTATTGTTGGAATGATCAGGAGGACAGCAAGATCACACCTCAAATTACACCAATGCTGCATTCTTTAACTCAGGAAGGAAGAAATCGATCAGTTAGCTCTCCAGACACCAATGAAAAATACTCAATCACTGATCTAGCTAAACAATCCCGACGAAGTGATCGGTTTGCAACCACTTTGAGAAATGAAATACAACAAAGAAGAGCTCGTCTTCAAAAAAGTAAGAGTACAGCAACTTTAACAGAATCTAACGAGGGTGACAGTTTAGAAAACTGGAATCAAGATTCTCCAGAAAGTGTGACACCTTCCTCTGATGGCACCTTTTCAAACACATACAAGAACCATTTAAAGGAGGCACAAGCAAGAGTTCTTAGAGCTACTTCCTTCAAACGTCGAGATCTAGAGCCTGTGATTGTGGATTCTTCACTGTCTCCAGAGCAAAGAAACCAGGGATATAGTATTTCAAAACATGCTTTTCATACTGATGTCACTTCCTACCCTAGTGAGCAAGTTCAACCTAAGCAAAATGTACCAGTGAGCAATTCTCAAAATATAACTCGTATTGGTGCCAGAAAAAGGTTTACATCACAGCAAAAGCTTAAGTCTTATTCAGAGCCTGAAAAGATGAATGAAGTTGGAATTTATGAGGATAGTAAAATAAGTGATTCTAGTACATCACAAGTAGCTGTTGGGTCTTTTGCAGACCGATGGAAATTTTTTGAAGAGACTAGCAAGTCTGCACAGTCCAAACCTGCTCCAAAACCAACTCCCCCTATATTTACAGAAGAAAATAATGAAACATACTATGCTAAGGATTATGAAAATGTACCAAAAGAATCTTGGCTTGAGAAAAGGTCTCGTGCTGCTTCTCTGGGAGCTGAAAAAATAATTGATAGGGATAGGAACCCTAATGATCACCATCACGGGGATAGTTCTAGAAGTTTTGATACTGTACAACAGCCTCAGAGGTTAGGGACTTTTGCAGAATATCAGGCATCATGGAAAGAACAGAAAAAGCCCCTAGAAAGGAAAAATTCAGGACGATGTCATTCTGCTGACAATATTCTCGATGCTGGTCTTGACCAAAATGAAAGATCTCAATATGTCCACGAGAGATCCAGATCATCTCCTACAACAGATTTCTACGCACATGTAAGCTTTATACTTTGAAATCTTTTATTTACCTGTTTTACACACTCCATGTTATAATCGTATAATCCTTGGTGTACATGTAGGTCTTCAGTATAATTTTCCAGTAACAAATTCAAAAGTTAACTCACTTGCCATTTGGAGGAGTCTTAACTTTTTGCATTGGTAATTTGTAAATCAAAATGTTTGATCATCAGCAAATCACTTCTATTTTTTGGACTAATGATATGAACGTCTGTAAGCTAATTCTCCCAAAGCCAGTGGGTTAGTTTGTTTTATTATGATATGATTTTGATTCACTGTATGGCGAAAAGTCTATGGACTCTGGACCAACACACCTTTATTAGTTTGTTCGATATCCCATTCCAAAATCATTGGCATTATTTGAAGTCTGTCCATCCCCCCAGTCTACTGCAGCCTCCATTCATTTGGAAATGTTCTTCACAAATTATTGAAATATCTGTTGGAATTTATGCCTATTAAGCTAAAAGAGAAATTGTGAGGTCAGATACTAATGTTGGGTAGGAAAACCTAGTTTGCAATCAGTTACTTTATATAGGGTTCAGGTCATAGCTCTCTGTGACCATACAAATTTCTCTACATCAAACCCAACAACCTTATCTTTATGAACCTAGCTTAGGGGCAAAGTCATGCTGGAAACGAAAAGGACCTTCCCTATACGGTTGTAACAAGGTTTGAAGTGTGTGATTATCTAAAATGTCTTTGCATGCAGTAACTGTTTCCTTTACTTGAAACATCTGAACTCAATAATTTGGAGGGCTGTCCACATATACTTTTGACCACATAGTGTAGCTTTAATTTTGAGGAACAGAGAGACACATCTACCACATGTACCTTTTTAGATTTAAAACAATTGTAAAACTAATGCTTTCTAACTTTACTTCTCAGTCGATATGTACAAAAGTACAGTAGTAGGGTGATACCAGGTAAAAACATTTATTTGTGAATAATCCTTTCCAGAGTGTGGTTTATGCACATAAAAATGATTGCGGGTTTGTGCTTGTTCTCATGACATTTTCCTTCTATCTCTGCTCTATTCTTCTATTAAAAAAATATTAGACAATCTGTTGGTTAGAGTTATGTCTTCCTTTTATCTGCCTGATATCCAATTTGGCCTGACCACTATGGGGATGCATGACCCCCTTCTCCAGAGACTTCAGTCATCTTGATGTATGACCTAATCTGTTTTCTAGCTTTGTAGTATGGCCTGCAAAGCTGTTTAGATGGAATATGCTTGTACACACAGGGTTTGATTTACTAAAGGCAAATACACTTTTCAATTTGCAAAGGATGTTGCGCTTTGCAAGGGAATTTTCCCCAGAGCTTAATGAATGTGATGCAATATAATTTTGTAAAGAATACCTAATCATTTTTTTTCTTGAACTTGATTGGATGATAGAGGTCAGCGTTTACTAAGCTCACTTCCTTTACGAAATTCAACTTCCGTTAAACTAAAGTCTGTATGACTTTAGTAGAATCAACCTCATAGTTTTATTCATATTGCTCTACACATAGATTATGGTAAAAAATATCTGAGTATTAATGTGTCCCTCTCACTATGGAGTAATGTAAAGGCAGCCTGTAAAAGCAGATGCTGTATACTTATCTTTCCGGTAGACGCTGGAGGCGCAGGTAATCAATTCACCCAGAAATGTCAGTTACCTGCAGCAGCTGGGGATCTACTATGCAGCAAGGTAGGTATGCAGCATCCCCTTTCACTGGCTACCTTTATATTACTCTGGACCCCGTATTGACAGGTAACTTTAAAAAAAAAAAAAAAATAAATGGTTATGAAAAAAAAACTGCGGTCCACAACAACCAACAGGTTTGGACTTTTTCCTTTGTATTCTATCCTAGAGACTTGAAGATTCACAGCTGTGAGTAACAGACAGCTATTTTATAAAGTGCTTCTAATTTTAGGGTACTTCATGTGTTAACATTTTAAGTAGAAATCCTATAAAGGAGAAGTACAGCCAAAGCTCTTTTGGCTGTGCTTCTCCTATGGATCACAGGAATGCAGTTTGTTCTGCACTTCTGTGACCCATTTTCAGCTGACAGCAGGATCCACCCCAGAGTCTGGATCGGCACATGGCTCAGCCTCTCAGCGAGTCACTGCTCTCAGTCACTGCTGACAGTCACCGCTCTCTGCTCAGAGTGGCTGTGAGAACTCGGCGATCAGCAGTCATGCTGAGTTCTCACCCTTAGGACCGATGCTACATCTACCTAAGTAAGTATGATTTAAAAAAATAAAAAAAGCAGTCCCACACTTCTCTTTGACTTGACTCTTTTTCCATTGGGAAGGTTTCTCTTCATTTTCTGTGCTCTAGATACAACAGCAGTGAGGGGAAATCTCTCCAAAGTGAGGGAAATCCCTTCTTAGACAGTTGTCACTGGAACAAATGCCCTATTCTAAGTAGAGATGCACCAACATGTTGGTGGCCGAAAAATATTGGCTGAAAATAGCCAATAGTACAAGTGAGCTGATACAGGCGCCAATAATAAGAGACCCGGCCCCAAGGAGGGGTGGACTGACAGCGATAAAATCATAACTTCTATGTGATAGCAATAAAATCATAAGTTTAAAAAAAATAATAAAAACACACATTAAAAGTTAAAAAAAAAAAAAAAAAAAAAAAATTGATCCTCCACATACACAGACAATTCGGTTTTGGTTTTCCGCCAAGTGCATCCTGAATTTTCGGTTTCGGCACCAGAATTTTCATTTCCATGCACCACTAATTCTAAGATTTCCCCTCTATTCCTGTTTCTGTTACAACTTTAAAGTACAGTTGTGCTCAAAAGTTTGCATACCCTGGCAGATGCGGTGACATTTTGGCATTGATATTGAAATTATGACTGATCATGCAAAAAAAAATGTTTTTTATTTAAGGATAGTGATCATTTTAAGTAATTTTTTGTGCCTTTTTAAGTCATAATGGAAATCACCCAATTGATCAAAAGTTTACATACCCTGGAATGTTTGGCCTTGGTACTGACACACAGAGATTAAAATGGCCATTAAAGGTTAATAGCCCACATCTATGGCTTTTTAAATTGCAGTTGGTGCCTGTGTATAAATAGTCAATGAGTTTATTAGCTTTCACATGGTTGCACTGAGCAGGCTAGATACTGAGCCATAGGGAGCAGAAAAAAGAACTGTCAAAAGACCTGCATAACAAGGTAATGGAACTTTATAAAGATGGAAAAGGATATAAAAAGATATCCAAAGCCTTAAATATGCCAGTCAGTACTGTTCAATCACCTATTATGAAGTGGAAAATTTGGGGATCTCTTGATACCAAGCAAGCGCCAGGTAGATCAAGAAAGATTGCAGCTACAACTGCCAGAAGAATTGTACCGGATACAAGAAAAAACCCACAGGTAACCTCAGGAGAAATAAAGGCTGCTCTGGAAAAAGACGGTGTGATTGTTTGAAGGAGCACAATACAACAATACTTGAACAAAAATAAGCTGCATGGTCGAGTTTCCAGAAAGAAGCATTTACTGCGCCAGTGTCACAAAAAAAACAGTTACGATATGCCCGACAACACTTTGACATGCCTCACAGCTTCTGGCACACTGTAATCTGGTGTGCCAAGTCCAAAATAGATCTTTATGGTCAGAACAAAAAATGCTATGTTTGGATAGGGGTCAACAAGGCATATAGTGGCAAGAATACCATCCCCACTGTAAAGCATGGTGGTGGCTCACTGATGTTTTGGGGTGTGTCTTGTGAAAATTGATGGTAAGATGAATTCAGCATGTTATCAGAAAATACTGGCAGACAATTTGCATTCTTCTGCATGAAAGATATGCATGGGACGCTCTTGGTCTCTCCAGTACGTCAATGACCCTAAACACAAGGCCATGTTGACCCTACAGTGGTTACAGCAGAAAAAGGTGAAGGTTCTGGAGTGGCTATTACAGTCTCCTGATCTTAAGATCATTGAGCCACCTTGGGGAGATCCCAAATGTACGGTTCATGCAAGATGACCAAAGACTTTGTATGATTTATAGGCATTTTGCCTAGATGGATGAGCAGCTATACCACCTGCAAGAAATTGGAGCTTCATACACTATTACAAAATACTGCAGCACACTGTCATTGATGCTAAAGGGGGCAATACACATTTTGTTTTATGATTGTGCCTTTCTGTTATGACCTACAGTTTAATATGAATCCCATAAGAAATAAAAAAAAAAGTGTTTTTCTTTAAAAAATGGTACATACTGAATATTACCAATTCTCCATGGGTGTGCAAACTTTTGAGCACAACTGTATATATAAAGCAAAAATATTTTTTTTATGTAGAGTAGGAAGGGTTATTTGCCATCTGTCTTGTTATTCAAATTTCTCTTCACTTCTTGTCCTGTAGGTGAGAAAATATCTTTCCAATGTGAGAAAAATCCTCTTTTAGGCAGTTGTCAGGGGAACAAGTGTTCCCACGGGAAGATTTTTCCTCTATTTCCGTTTTGATGGAACAATAGCACAGGAAAACACTAAATATTTACCAAAAGGATTATATTTCAGTCTGATGAGTTGCTTTTGAATTGTATAAATTGTTTAATTGGATGTTATTAATTATTATAAGAACATTTTACTTTATTTTTAGCTCACTGACTTGCATCGTAGCATTTTTTTTACACTTTAAAAATATATTGGCGCTGCACTTATTTTGATTTTATTATTGGTGGTTGTGCAACATACTGGTGTGCTTAGTTTAGATTAGTTTAGACCCGGTGATATTTGGTCACCAAAAGAAATGGGATTATCTCCCTAAAGGGATACAAAGGGATCGCTAAACCAAGAAAGACATATTTGAGAGGTTCTGGGATTGCAGGGCTTATTCAAACTACCAGGCACAAAGAAGCACCTTAAGGTATGAGAATACATAAACAGGCACCAAACCAAAATGTAAAAAAAATGTTTAGGTCTAAAACGGCCAAAGAGCTCTGGGGGCAATAATATATCAGGACTTAAA